CATTTCAACTCTGCTTTCCCTATTGAAATGCCTTTGATTTTATTCTCTTGTCTGATTGCATTGGCTAGGACTTGCAGGACTATACTGAAAGGGAGTGGAGAGAGTGGGCAGCCTTGTCTTGTACCAGTTTTTAGTGGAAAAGCTTTAAGCTTTTCTTCATCCAATATAATGTTAGCTATTGGTTTTTCATAGATGTCTTTTATTATGCTGAGAAATTATCCTTCCATGCCAATTTTCCTGAGAGTCTTAAACTTAAAGGGATGTTGTATTTTGTCAAATGCTTATTCTACATCGATTGAAATGATCATATGACTTTCATCTTTCTTTCTGTTAATATGGCGTATTACATTTATGGTTGTGAAGATGTTGAAACACCCTTGTATCTCCAGAATACAGTCTATGGTTTCTGCACAGCAAAGGACATAGCAATCAGTTTGAATAGACAACCTTCACAATGGGAGAATATTTTTGTTAACTATCTCCCATATAAGGGACTGATAACCTGAATACACAGGAAACTAAAGCAGCTTATCCAGAAAAAAGGATTAATCCAATTAAAAGATGGGAAAATGAATTGAATAAACAACTCTCTAAGGAAGACATACAAGTAGTCAAAACACATATGATAAAATGCTCAACATCCCTCATCATAAGGGAGATGCAGCTCAAGATTATAATGAGATACCACTTACCCATGATCAGAATGGCAAAGATTAAAAATACAAAAAATGCTAAGTGTTGTTCTGGATGTAGTGAAAGGGCAACTCTCCTACAGTGTTGGTGGAAATGTAAATGGGTCCAGTCACTGTGGAGAATAATTTGGAGGTTCCTCAAAGACCTACAAATATAATTACCACATGATCCAGCAATTCCATCCCTGGACATCTACCCAAAGGACAGGAAAATACTCAGTTGGAAAAGTGCTTGCATCTGAGATGGCTTGGCTAGCTGGCATAGCTGGCAGCTGGCTGGGCCTTTATCCTATCAGAATAGTTGATTTTCTTAGGTAGTGGTTCCTGGCTCTAAGGAACTTGAGAGCCTGTGAAAACAGAAGCTCTTAAGTCTTTGCAGGTTGCCTTTAAGGGCACACTGCCGTTTGTGCATATTTTATCACATAAATATGTCAAAAGGCCAATGCAGATTCAATAGAAGGGAGAGTAGATGCCATTTTTGGTGGGAGATCTGTATAAACATTGGGAAGGCATTGTTGCTAGCCGTCCTTACAAAGAACCTATCACAGTCTTCCCTCTGAACACAGAAATTCATATCCCTCCCCTGTACAAAATATTCCATGTTTTCTCCCCAACGTGTCATCTCTTTAGACCACTGGTTCAAAGTTCTGCAACTTGCCGTGTAAATCAGGTCTAGACCTGAAAATGAGATTAAGCTGGTTCTGTTAAAGGAGAAGAGTGTTGGATCAAAAAGAAACAATACAGTGGCCATTACAATAATTCAGGAGAGACTAGATGTCATTTGAATAGTGCTCTAATAGTAGGAATGAAATAGTAAAAATAGAATAGAGATTTATTTACAAGACCAAATGATGGTATCTATGAAAATATACATGGTGTTTGAGAGGGGCAGGAGTGTCAAAGACAATGGCTAATTTTATGTTTTAAGGAACTTCATTGGCTAGGTATCATTTACTGAGCTAGAAAACACAGGTGTTTCTTTCATTTTTGTTTGTGCGCCTTGTGAGATGGAAGTTGGGACACGGTATCACTGGTTTACTTGTGGAAATGTTAAGTGTGAGGGACCTTCGAAAGACCAGAAGGGAAATACCCAGCATGTAATTCGTTTTGTGAAGCAGGTACCACAGATGGCATCTGGTGGACGATGAGCGCTTTGGAGTCATGAGGTTATAGATGTGATGAAATTTGAGATGAAAACTTCCAGCATTTTATACTATTTAAAACATTTCATTCATTATTTTGATAAGTAATACAATAACTCAAGTGAGACTATAAAAATACAACAGGGGATGAAATATGTCACTTTCCAGACATTTAATGATTTCCTCTTTGTTTCAATTGGATTATAATAATTATTTTCTTACAACTAGTTTTAGCTTCTTTTTTTTTTCTCTATTTCCTAAGGGTTTGAGTAATGCACACATTGCTAGAAAGACAAGCATAGTAACAAAGCTGAATAGAACTGTTGGTTGTCCATCAATAGCACCAGAAAGAATTTTGCAACGTCCTTCTCTACGGCATATAGGAGAGTTCAGATTTATGGTGTACTGAACATGTCATAATGTGAAAATGCAAAGAGCTCCAATGTAAGATGAATGAGTACAAATACAATCCTGAGTAAGAGCAAAATGTTACTTTAAATCTGACTAGCTTATTTAGTAAATGGTATTTGGATAACTGATTAATCATTTGAGAAAAATATGTTAATTCTCTACACATTACATAAAATCAATTCCATAAAGCATCAATATTAAAAATTATAATATTAGAGTCCAGCAGGTGCATAGTGATTAAGGAGCTGGACTCTCATATAACCAACTGTGGTTTGAGTCCCAGACCAGGTTGCTTGAAAATCATACCAGACACATATTCATGGGTACCCAAAGTCCCAAGAGGAGAATGGCGGAGAAAGTCTGCAGTGCAGCCATTCTCCTTGGGGGGCGATTTCTCATTTTCCCTCTATTTCTCCCTGGAAAGTACATGTGCTTTATAACAAATCCTAAAAAAAATGCAGTATGAAAACACAAAAATGCTAGAGAAACATTACTTAATTTTAAAACAGAGATATCAAAAAAATCAAAGAACCAAAAGGGACAAATTGATGGGCTGGCTCATACACAACTCAAATACTTCTATATTAAAATAAAAGCATTAACAAAATTAAAAGTTAATAGAGAGAAATACATACAATCTATGATACAAATGTATGATATTGAATGTTTGAAAGTCAGTAAAGCAATGGAAAACCTTTCTAAAAGAAGATGATAAAGGAAACAACTTCCAAAAGAAAAGTGAATAGTCAAAACATACAAAATTGTTTAACCTCACTGGCAACTAAAATTGAAAATTATAAAATAAGACAATAAATAACTGTTCTGTATTCTTAAATTATATTTAGAAATTTTTCTAAATACTTATAAAAAATTAAAAAAAAAAAAATACATGAAGTGTATTTTTCCCAGAGTTGACAAATGATAGGTTTGGAGATTAGCTCTGGCAATGAGAATGCTTTTCCTTCTCGTTTTATTATTATTTCCTGATTTCTCTATGATACTACAAATGTGGTTTCCTTTCATTAAAAATATCCACATATATTTCAAGTATTAGTTTAGAGCCCACGAGCCAGACAGATACACTTACTCTCCCAGGAAAACGATCTCAGTGTTGATTTCGCCTGACCTGTGGCGGAGAAAATTCCTAAGGAAAGCTGTCACGCTGTCAACGGTGATGTTTCCACAGACCACGATGAACCTAGACAGCGAGAACACATGAGGTGGGCGTGGTGCCCACGTAGCAGATAAGGCCACCCTCCACTGTACTGAAGCCACATGGAAAGCTTCTAGTTCCGCTTTGTGGTGTTTCCCTGAACATGTCTGCCTGTGAGACGGGCTAGCTGAGGCGAGAGAGAGGATCGCAGTATGGAGACCCTGTCGGGGGTGTCTGTCTCTCTCTACCATGGACGAAATAAATAAGCATAAAAAAAGTTGAAGTGGATCATTTGAGGACCAGAAGTGTCTCCTTGCCAGGATTTGATGATGGATGGTAAGCTTAAACTTGGTTTTCAATAAATTTGGCATTGGGATAATCCAGATTTAAAGGACAGAAACACCGAGGACTGTCTCTGATGTTCAAAAGAAGCATCAGCTTCCTGTGTCTTCTAGCTCATCTCTAGCCGGTGTGGCTGCAGGCGTTTGAATTACACAGAGTTCTCCAGGAATACAAAATAACTGTCATTACTACTATTATTCAACTGCCAGAGTGCATGTGATTCATCAGAGACTGACAGAGAGAGGGTGCAGGGGCGAGCGCCCCTCTCCGTGGTGCTGGGTGTAGTCACGCTGCAATCCTTTCTCCTCCATTGCTTCATCCTGCTGGAATTCAGTGCATGCACACACAGGCTTCCAGCATGTTTTTCAAGCCTCTCGGACCAGGATTTGAACTGTAGGCACCCAAGTGGGATCCAGCCCCCTGAACCAGCAGGCCAAGGGGCTGGCACGATAACTATCATTGCTGCTAGATATTTCATCACTAGATGTTTCACTCAGTTTTTCTTTATAAAAGAGAATTATCATCTGTTGTTGATAATGTGTATGGTGATAGGTATGACTGGACCAATATGCTGTGTATGCATGCTGGGAACATTAATTTTGCCTGCTGTAAAGATGTACGGTGACTAAATGTACAAAAGGAGAAAAAAGAAAAAAAGTTAAACTCATTAGACAAAAAAAAAGAGAGAAGGTGGAAATTCGTCCTCACTCTAGCAAAGTCTCATGGAAACGAGCCCCAGATGATTTTAAAGAGTTTTGGCTGAGACAGCTGAATTGAATGAATTACTTCAGAGTTTAACAATGGCTTTACTTTGACCCATTTTGTAAAGTCAGCCATAAGTTTACATAATGAAAATAAGCAAGACGATTAGAATAGATGTAAGGGAATAGTTAGCAGTTAGGAATGTGGAAATATTGCCATAGTCAATAATATTTACTGGTGGTAAATTACAATAGAACCTGCCATTTATTGATTCACTGCTCTTGGGAACATCGACGTAGTAGTTTTTATCAAGTAGCAAGTATATTTGTCTGGTATTTGTTCCAGCACAGTCCTCTGTAGTGAATGAAGGATCCTGCCAACACTCACCTTTGGTTCTATAGCTAAGCTCAGTAAACCATGTCAGGCATGAGATATGTGATGAATAGAGTGTCTGAAAATGATAGAAATCACATTTGGAAAAATACGTACTTTTTACCTTTGACCACTTCATAGGGGCTGGTGTATTTCCTCTTGTTTGCAAAAAGTTCCACCATTTCAGGGACATAGTTTGCAAATAGTATCTAAAATAATCAGCAAATGACTGTCATTATTTTAACAGATATTCCAAAATTCTGAGGGTATAAAACAGAAAGACGATACATAAACTTTTTCTCATGTGTAAGGAGTAGGAAGGTGAACTACACTATATTTTAAAAAGAAAACCATGTTTCTTCCTTATTTCAGCCTTTGGGTTGGGTTAAAATGTAGTAAAATGTCTTCCGGCATTTAAAATGATGCCTAGAGACAAGTGGAGGGCGGCTTCCATATGGTTTGTCCCCAGATCACGTCAAACCTCTTCTGAATCTGACTGTATACTCTTGGGGACTTGGAAAAATCAGAGCAGCTGGGGCAGAGGGGGTGTGAGATGATGCCTGGAATGAAGGCGTGTAATGCTGCGGGCCCCAGGAACAACAGGGAGGCAGAGCGAAGAACTGTTACGGTTTTTAAGGAACATAAGTGAAAATCGCTAAAAGAGAAGCGTCCCTCGCTCTTGACGCAGTAATTAACCAAGCATCAGTGTTCACTTCTTTGACATGAAATGTTACTTTGGCAAGAGCTCACTCATTTGGGCTTGAAGAACAAACTTTTCAGGTCAAATCCCAGACATCCCTCATCTTTAGAAGAAAGACTTTTATCTGTTGGGTAAAAGAGGAATGAAGATATCAACAGCATTGATCAGTTCAGTGTAGAGGTTAATAAGGAAAGTTGGCTATCCTTTGACTACCATCTTTCATCCCTGGAAACCAAGTAATTGCATCATGTGCTCGGGGAAATGCAGTTTGGGAAACACGGGGTCTAGGCATCTGTTCACCTTCATATGACCCTGAGAACTACTGCAACTTTTACTCTCAAACTTGTATTGCACTTTCCTCACCACCAACCAAATGTGTGTGTGTGCTTATATTATGTGCTATATTCAAAATATATTAAAAATGCTCTTCACCAAACTCCCTAGGGTGAAGAAAATGATGAAAGTCCGCCCGAGGGATGTCTTGGCCACCACGTCTCCGAAGCCAACGGTTGATGTTGTTGCCATGACCAGGTAAATGCACTCAAAGTATGTGATGTTCTGGGAATTTTTACCTTTGAGCCAGGGATCACCAGAATTTTCCACCTGTTCAAAGAGAGAAACTTCAGGTAAGATCTCTGAATGAAATCAAAAGGGGGATTTTTACAGCATAGGTAAAACATTAGATTAATTGTAATTAATTTAATCCAAATGAAATATGAATGATTTCTATACTTTTTTGAAGGATTTACAAATTGAGGGTAGTGATTGTCAAGGCTCAGTTTCATTAGTTGGGACTATTGCTGATATCAGAGGGGTCCCAGGTCTCCACAGGAGAAGACTTCCCTGGTCTCTGTTTCCACGGAGCTTGTCACTGTATGCTTGGAGCCAGGGAATCCACGTGCTCTTGGCTTGTGCAATTACTAGTCACTTTTGTTTTTTAACCAGAATTATCATTAAGGAAAAAAGCACCCAAACAAGTGCTTGATTTTAGTGAATTTAAGCACTTGAAAGCTAATGTCTAAGAAAAAACAAAGTTTCCAAGTTATTTCCCAACCTCTGTGCAATCTTTTCAGTGACTTAGAAAAAGAACACACAAAAAAAGCCTCTTAAAATATATTCTGGTGATATTACTTTTAGTCTTTGCATTTTAGAAAACAAAATTTATCAGATTACCTTTTCTATATTAAATGAATGGAGTAATTTAGGCATCTCTACTATATATAAATTTGTTATGAATATATAATATGTAAATATATAATGCATTTTACACAATGTATAACTCTATTATACATCATAATAATGTATTATTTATGATTATATATAACTAATTTATATGTCATAATTACATTTATATAATTTCCTTTGTTTTTTCCTTTTTAAAGACATTTTCATCATCCTTATATATTTCTTATGTTTTCTATTTCCAGTTACCACAAAAGATGTCAAAATGTTCATGATTTCTGAGAAATTTAGGGTTTTTGCTTCATTTTTAGAACTTGAATGGAAATTAGAAATCATGGAGATTGCTCAGGTGATTTGATCACCTTTTAAGTGTGATGTACCAAATGTAGACCCTTTCTTGAGTTTGAGGGCTAGGTTAGAGGGTTGACTCCTATAAAGTCCATCGTACAATGAACAAAAAAAAAGACCCCAATGCCTATACTTAACTCTCCTGGTTGATTGGTTGATCCTGGATATTATTGCAAAGACTACTAATTTGCTTTCATTGACCCCTGGCATCTACACCACTCTTCAAGACTAGAACATTGTAAGAGAACCAAGTTTAAACCACACAAACTTAAATCACTCATACCGATTGAGAGAGTTTGGTGTAAGCTAAATCCCATGGTATTTTGTACATTATAGTATAAGGATTCAGTATTGTCCCTACACAGCATATTGTAGAAACAAAAACCAATCTAGAAATCTTCTTCACAATAATCTAAACAATCATTTACAGTTCAACTCACTGTCTTTGGGAGTATTACTTTAGTGGTTTAGATTTCTTCTTGTATCCCTGGCACCTCTCTAAACTCCAAAATCCCCTTGTGGTCCATGAGGAAAGGGTGCTTATAGCTTTCTGGGGGTCTGTGTGTTTGCTCTGCTTTTTCTTAACCTTGTAAGTATCAGCCAAGATGTGAAATCAAGTTAAGATAAATAATTATGGACCAATATTAAGATAGTTAATCATTTTTTGGTTTTAGCTCCATATTCCAAATCTGAATTTTTATGTTTTCAAAACTTACACTTAAACTTTAGATAAGGTATGTTACAGAGGGGAAAAATGTAAGAATGCTCTTATCTCATCTTATTGTCCCACCAACATGCATATTATTTCTGTATTTCATGTTGTGCAGGTGCAATCTAGTCTATAACCCTGATTCCCTTGGTTGAATCTTAGCTGTATTTTAAACTCATCCAGTAATCACTACTACTCTTCAACTTTAGATAAGGTGTACTACCCCGATTCTAGGAGACACAAATTGGTGAGAAATATGAAGGTGGAGAAAACCGGAAAGGAAGAAGAAGGAGGACGAATTCCTCACTAGGTTACAGTGACAGGGACAGGGCTCAGCATGTTCCTTTCGTTTTCAAAGAAAGGATGCATGATCTGCCAGGCACTCTGAAGGGTTGTGTAAGAAGCTTACCAGGTGGATGAATCCCGCAGCAGTGAACCAGGTACTAAGGACTATGGCCAACAGTTTGGAAAACTTCACAGAATTACTAGAGGAAAAAAAGCAAAGAGTTACTGACTTTCCTCTGACAGGTTCCAGAGTGACAGGGACACCTCATTCTCTAAGAACACAGTTCCTGGATGAGATGCAATGGCATTACCTAGAAGTGAGTCAGAAAGGCAGACGCCCAGGCCACATTCACATATCCCTGATTGCGTTGTCACTAGATCCTCTGTCTTTGTATGTAAACTCAGGTGGTCACACACATATGTTCAACAAGTTTGGTTTTGCCGTGACATTGCTATCCTGAGGTTATGTAGCATTTACAAATATATGCTATAGGAATTCATGTAAGGTACATGTAATAAAATGTTACATTGTCTAATGTAACAGTACACATTGCCTTAAGCCAGGACTCCAAGAAATAGGTTTGCAAAATGAAATTGTGAGCAGGGCACAGAAATGCTGAGTGTCTTTAAGTGAAGGTGAGAGTTTCTCCTGTGGTCTCCTAGACTTTAGCTGAATGAAATTTTCCTGTCATACAAGAATCACTTGTTCAATCTCAATTTCTCCCTAACGCACAGACACTCAGCAGTGGAATCCACCTGACCTATGACAGAAAGTGAGAGATTACCCTCCATGGGGGATGGCCATACCACAATCCCTTCTCCTCCATTCTCCTCTTGGGATTTTGGGCATGCACACACATGTGCCTGGTGTGAGTCTGATGGGAAATGAATTTAGTTTAGGATTCAAGTGACATTTCATTTCCTAATACGAACTAGCAAGTAAGCTGTATTCAGGTAGGGTGAGTATTTACCTGGTCTTCATGACTTGAAGAATTTGCAAGATTTGAGGGAGTTCTAACAGCCGCAATGCTCTTAGAAACCTTAAACCTACAAGGCAATAGAAAGAAAACTGCCACAACAAGAGTCAATTCAGTGAGTATCCTGAATTATTAAATGACTGGTATTGTTCACATTCGTCTTCTCCCTGAGATATTCAAGTATAATAAAGCATAATGTTATAGTTTTTTTTATTTGTAGAGGGTATATACATATGAGAGAGAGAGAGAGAGAGAGAGAGAGAGAGGACAACTTAGATGCACGGTCATGCTGCAATGCTGCGATCCTTCTCCATTTCTCCATCTTGTCAGGAGGATTTGGGGTGTGCATGCACAAGTACCCAGCATGTTTTTCAGGTTGACAGTGCTGGCACTTGAATTGCAGTTGGCCGTAAGGGATCAGGCTCCCTATGCACAGAGCTTAACCACTACACTACAGGTTAGTTATAAGTGCCGTTATACATTTAAGAGCTGTAGTTCACACCCCGATCTTGACATTGATAGCTGTTAGCATCTAAGGTAATTCCTTTAATTCTCTAGCTCTTCATCTCTTCTCATAAAGGGGGAATCATAATAGTGCCCAGCTCTTAGAATTGTTAATGCAAAGTATATAGAAGCTTCCTTTTATATACAATAAACACTCTTCATTCTATTCTAACTCTTCTGCATTGAAAGCAAATTGTCTGTAATCCACTTAAACTCCATCTAACAACCTCTATGCTCTGTTCCTTTGCTAATAATGATAGCAAGGCCTAGAACTGGTGTGAATTTAACAGGTAATAAATAATAATATAAAATGACATAAAACCCCATATAAGCTACAGAATGCCCATGCACTGTCAACTTAGCCACCTTAAAGAAAAATAATGAATTAATTTGCAAACATGTCAGAGTCTTCCTGGACATGAGGGTTAGCTTTAAAGACCTCAGAGGCCTTTCTTCCATTCTCTTGTGTGGGGTCTAGCACTGAGGCACCCTGGAGGTGGGGTGTTGGAGCTTGGCTTCTCCCCGTGGATGTGCCAGGCACACTGGTGCTACAGTGAGAATGGGCTCTGCAAAGGTGTCACCACTCCACGTGATCGAGATGACAGGCTTGTAAATGGCCATCAGGCATTAAGGGAAGATGGAGACTAGATACTTAGACTCAAAAGCTGAGGTTCTGTTCCGTTTTGTTTTGTTTTTGATATTGTTGCTAATTCCCACAGCTTACCCAGCCAGTTACTCTTCAAGTAAAATGAGACAAAAGTTGGTGGGATGGTAAAGATGTCTACAATTGAATTCATCTCCAACCAGAACTTGATCTTGTCATCGGCTGCCACGAACTACGAAATGGAAACAAGACACCCAAATGTGGTGACACGTTAAGGATTTTACAGTGAACACAAGGGAAGGCGTTATTCTAGTACATTCATTCATCAATGATGACGCTGATCTGATTCGATTTAACACATAGACGAACACAAACATATGTGTATAGCTATACACAGTCACGGATGTGAACTTAGAGGCAGAGGTTGAACCTTTAGTAGGTATTCAGTAAGTAAACATATGTATTCTATCTACTGGGCCTTAACTCTCATATTTCAGAATAAATCCTTCCTTGTTACTTCTAGAGCTTCCTGATACGTCTAGACCTGTTTGTGAGTAACAAGGACACACAATGCAGGATGGCCTCCAGTCTGAAAGGAGCAGCTCTCTAGAAACTTCATTGGCCAAGACCCAGGTTTATAAACTTCCTTATTAAGACTAAGGAAGAAATAATTTAATTTTTTGGTAGTTATATATTTAAATTTATTTGGTATGCACCAACACTATAACCTTATTGTAGTTGAAATCTGTGACAGAATTTATTTATTTTTTTATGGCTAGTCAACTCTACAAGGACAATAATACTGCTGTAGAAGACCAAAGGGGGGAAAATAGAGATATTCATTTACAAGTCTCCGTATTATGAATATGTAATCCATGGTCTGTTACTAACTTTCAGTGAGGGAGTGTTACATAGACAAGAAAATGATGACCTGTGTGTCTACTCATACTCAATAATAGTATATTGCACTAGAACATCAGATTTTTCTCTTCCATTTGCATTATAGTCAGTCGTTGGAAAAGTCATGACATATTTTTCTATGTATTTCATGCAAAAATGTGCCATGACTTTTCTGATGACCCAATATTTTCTTTAGATAATTATCTATACTTTCAAAATAACTAAACATAGTCAACAAGAAAGCAAGAATTTCTAGAGGGAAAGTCTGTTGTAAAAGGATTTTATGGGGGTAGGACTAACAGTTGACGTAATGGCTATGCCTCTGGATTCCCGTGTAGTTGGCCATGATTCAAGTCCCGGAAGGATTTTATGGGGGTAGGACTAACAGTTGACCTAATGGCTATGCCTCTGGATTCCCATGTAGTTGGCCGTGATTCAAGTCCCGGACCTGGACCCAGTGGCTTAAACTCACATCAGGCACATGTGCCTGTGTGCCCAATATCCCAAGAAGAGAATGGAGGAGAAGGGATTATTGCATGGCCATCCCCCCTGGGGGGGTGATTTCTCACTTTCTCTCTCTCTCTGTCTCTCTCTTTCTGGTGAGCGCACATGCCCTACAGCAAATACCTCTCTCTCTCTCTCAAAAAAAAAATAGATTTTATGAGGGACCAGCAGATAGTGTAATGGTTATGTTACTGGGCTTCTGCATAGTTGACCACGGTTCAAGTCTTGTACTGGGCAACTTAAAAACTCACAGCGGGTTCTTGGGGACTTCCGCATAGTTGACCACGGTTCAAGTCTTGGACTGGGCAGCTTAAAAACTCACAGCGGGTTCATGTGCCTGTGTGCTCAAGATTCTGAGAGGAGAATGGAAGAGAAGGGATTGAGGCATGGCCATCCTCCCTCAGGAGTTATTTATTGCTTTCTGTCTCTCTGTCTCCCTGGTGAGCATCCTATAGCAAACATTCCTCTAAAACAAAATGAAACAAAACAAAAAAAGAGATAAAAAAAGATTTTATGATTGAAGTTTTAAAGAAAGGGTCATAGAAATAGATTGTGTATATGTATATGTGTGTGTGTGTATCAATATATGTGTGTGTCTATATCTATCTATCTATCTGTCTATCCAGGTTATGTTTTACACATATATACCTAAAATATGCTTTTATGTATGTATATGCATCTCTACATATATATTACAGTCTCCCACAAACAGGAGATATATAAATACATCAACATCTCAATCTAGAATGAGTATAAATTCCTCTGTAATGACAGAATAATTTAATAAGTGACTATAACAAAAATGAAACAAAATACTAAAGTATTTTGGATTTGCCACCAATAGAATCAATGGCCTCAAAGTCTGCTAGGTTGGGCTTATTTTGAATGGTAGGTGGGAAGTCAAGAAAGGTGGCATTGTACCAGGGGATGTTATTTAGTAAAGAAATCATCTTCATTTGTGTTGGGCTTGCTGAGTTGATTTATAGATTCAAGTACAGGGGAGACAGTTTTCAGACCTCATTGTATAGTTATTTAACAATTTAGGGCATAGACCCTCTGTCTTCAAAGCCTTCTATTAAGCAGATTCTGTAACTAGGACACACACAGAACTTTTTACATCCTGCCTATTGTGTTTGTGTGTTTACTTCCAATTTCAGTAGATACTTACTCTCAACCCAAAGTAGAAAGCAAAGAATGTGTTGAAAATCAAATCGATAGGGATGGTTTTGTCTTCATATGAAGAACAGCTTCCAACAGGGCTGGAAAAGAAACAAAGTCAGATTAGAAGAAAGAAACAGAGAACCATTAGAAGCTATATAGGACCAATATATATTCACTGTGAGTGGACAACCTACACACCTATGGTCAGATTACAAGAGCATTACTGTTCTCTTGGGAGTAGAGCTATACATGAATAAAACTATTGGACTCCTTGTGGAGCTGAAAAGAACCCACTAAAAGCCTATTGGTTGTGTTTCACTCAGTCTTATTGGTATGGCTCTTCCTAGTTTGTGAGATCATCTACCTAGTCAAGATGCTTTAGCTTCAGTGCCTACCAGGGAAAATGGAAATTTTCCAAATTCAAAGAAACTTTCCTAAGAGATCTGTAAGGAATTCGCAAAGCAAAGATGATCAGTTTCTTTGGGTGCCTGAAAGTGCCTAGCTTTTGTGACCTCATGACCTAGATTTCACTTCATCTGGAAATCCAGTATGATTTCTGGAGACTGACATGGAGTTCAGATTTGATTGGGTTTTGTCCTAAACACCAGTCCTAACTTATGAGAAGTGATGCCTTCAGAGAAGAGCAAACAGAAATCTTTACCCCAAGTGAGGTCTAGCATTTTCCTTTCCTAAGGTTATCAGAAATTGCTGGAGACCGGGGAGAAGCCCTGAAACTACCACAGAACTGCTATGGGATCCAAAGGTATAGAAAGACTTCATGAGTGACCAAGTGAAGAGAGGGAAGATGGAGGCTCAGAGCCAGAGCCGAGTAATCTGTGTACATCGCCCCAAGCCCTCAGCCACAGAAGTGGCAGGAAACAGATGAAATACATGTGCTATTTACAGATCTTAGTCTACTTCTTCACTGGGGGAAGAGAAACACATCATTCTTGATGAGTATGTGGGTGTGAGCATGTGTGTGAGTGTGTACATGTGTGTGAGTGAAAGTACACTAAGAAATATCCCTGAGGAGAAAAGTTCCAAATTAACCGAGAAGTTTACTAATACAGCAGACAAGGGGGCTGTGATCTTACTCACTCAGTAGAATTGATGAAATAGATGATAAGAGATCCGATGCTTAGTACAAAGACAAGGATCACCTAGAAATAAAAAATAACATGGACAAATATACAAATCCAATTTTGTGATGTGGAATAAATTTAAAAACAAAATTGTTGGGACCAGCAGTTAGCGTAATGGCTATGTCGCTGGACTCCCTCGTGGTCAACTGCGGTTCGTGTCCCAGACCCGGTGACTTAAAACTCACACCAGGCATGTGTGCATGCGTGCCCAAGATCCTGAGAGGAGAATGGAGGAAAAGGGATTGCGGCGTGGCCATCCCCCCTGGGGGGAGATTTCTCGCTTTCTGTCTCTGTCTGTCTGGCGAGTGCACGCGCCCTATAGCAAAAACCTCTCCCCCCCAAAAAAAAACAAAAAACAAACAAAATTGTGTTTTCTCTTTTTACCTTGCTGATATATGTGTAGTTACTGATTCATGTATTCATCTATGCTAGCATTCCTTCATCCATCCATTAAAAAAAGAGTGACTGGAACCTTGTCGGATATTCAGTAGATGAGATTTTTACTTACTGACTTTTAACTCTTGCACATTTCAGAATAAACAGGCTTGTCCATCTTCCTGTTCTTGGCACTGTGAAGACTTACCAAGTCCTGCCAGATTTGTATTTTTTCACTCATTGAACATTTCTTAAGTGCATAATAAATAGAATGTGCTTTATTCCATTCTAAGAAACGAGGGCTCTTGGAGAAAGACCCTGGACATGCACTGTCCATGACACTGTAGAAGAAATGATCCCTTCACTTATGCCCTAAGAGAGCCAGAATCTTGACAGGAGGGGAAGTCCTTCAAGACAAAGGAGAAGACGAGTGAGTGCCTTCCACACGCCAGAGCATCTGGGCTATGGAGTGAGCAGAGCTCATGAAGTGCTACAAAGCGGCTGTTCATCTGAAAGTGTTCTTGGTTTGGGTAAAATCTTTGGCAACCTCCATGACTTTTCAGATCATTTTTAGGCATTTGAACATTCCTCCCATTGTTTCTAGCTTACAAACCATTCAGCTTTTGGTCCAGTGTTGTTCTAATCATAAAACTCTGAACTTTATTACCACTAAAGTTTTGTTCCTTGCCAGCCTGGGTGTTCCTTCAGTGGGCTGGCTGCCTGTATGAAGGGGCAGACTCTTCTTCCTGGTTCACGCTGGAAGGCTCCCTCTGGCCTCTCTAGCACTGTGGTCAGTGTTGGGGAGTTAACAGGCAAGAGGTCCGAGGAGGGACGTTCTGTCTTAAGGGCTATCAGACCAGGGATTTTGTCCTGGGACTCTCGGGACATAGGCCTTGCTTAATGCTCTTTCAAGAATGGCTTTTTTGGTCTTTAGAGACCCTGATTCTGTTCATAATAATATTCAAATTAAACAAACAGTCTTTCAGTTGCTTTCATGACTATAGTATGGAACTATCCTCAGTGAGCAGCACTGGGCTCTCCACTCTGTGGAGCTCACAGCTAGACAATACACAGATGACTAAGATGTAAAGTCATGGTGCCTTTGAGGATAAATGCTAGGAGAACAGACGTGAGCAACATAATCAGGGCCACAGAGGGCAGGGACAGAGGGCTTACATCTTCAGAATATATACTTTTTTCTTTTAAGAGAATACATGGGTGTACACCTGAAAGAGAGGGGCAGAAGTAACCTCAATGGGGGGCTGGTTATGTGACGATCCCCTAACTCCAGCCTAATGGGTCCCGGACATCCATAATGTCTGGTGTATTTGGGGCAGACCAGGTGGGGATTTGAACAGACTGTCCTGTGGGATCTGGCTTCTCTCAACGGTGTTACTGCTGTGCCCCAGAGCTGTCCAGTTCTCAAGAACATTTCATTGTAGGTGTGCTATCTGTGGTTCCCTTGGTTTGGGTGGGGTATATTTCTCTGTGTTCACTCACAACCTCTTCTCTTGGTCCCCTCACACTCCTGCTTTCCTATGGAACCCCACCTTTCCAGGTGTCTACCTCAGCAGGTGACAGCAGGCCCACACATATGACCTGCCTCTACTCACAGAAGCTCTCAAGCATTCACGGCCCCAGGAAACACTGGAGGACAGTTATCTCTGTCACAGAGCAGCCAGCCTGGTTGTCCACCTTTGCAATGACCAAGAGGTCTGTCCCCTGTGTTCCCTGGTCCCAAGAGATGTGAACTGAGAGTTGTGAGTAGTCCTACTGAGCCGCTTTCCTTGTAGGCTTCAGATGAAATCAAGCACTCTCACAGCTACAGCTCTTCCATGGCAGAGCCTGTGCTAGAAAGCTCTCTTCTGGTTCCACCTTACCCCGATTCCACACAACAGGGCACAAGGCTCAGAGTTCAGCTGGTTTTCTTTCCACAGCTCTGTGAGTGGTGGTGCTGCATGTTGCTCACAACAAGGGAGGTGTCACCCCTATTTTCTTGGGGTCTCAACTTACACTCTTAGTTTCATGTTAACATCTATATAAAGTGTTGATAGAGAGGACTACACTCAGAGATGGTGTTGGAAGCTGAGGGAAGACATTTGGAGTGGAAAAATAACACGCACATGCACACACACATAAATAGTTTTTTTTTTTTTAAATGAAGTTACTTTCTTCTCTTTATATGTGACTATAATTTTCTCTCTTACTAAATCCCCAGAGGGATTCAACTATGTGACTATAATTTTCTCTCTTACTAAATCCTCAGAGAGATTCAACTATAATAAGCCTGATTGACAGACTCATGGAAAGATGGCAGCATGCCACATGTTTACAAGCACCCAAATCACAGAAATGAACAAAAATAAATACTAAAAGAAGAAAAGTTTTGTTTGAAACCAAGAACATGTCCAATGTCATATAGCGAACACAAACAATATTATCTGGCAGACCCAAGATGGGCTCTAAACCCAAGGGAGGCCCTGGGGCCCGAGAGCCGGAGACCACCACCCAGCTAGTCGGGAGGACGTGGGAGCATCGAGAGGCCAGTGGATGCTCATGAGTTGGAGGTGAGCTGGGAAGGGCTGGCTGTGAGAGGAGGGGTGGCAAGTTCTGACCTGAGCTTCGGAGGCAGCAGGTGGGAGACAGGGCCACAGGGTCAGGGGTGACCTGAGAGGATCCCTGAGTCCCTGGTCACAGGGGAGGTACCTAGGGCCAACGACAATGCATCTTTTCTTAGAAGCACCATGGAACATAGAGGAAAATAAGCCAAAAACATTTGAGACCTCAGCCAGAAAGAAGCTTGTTTGCCGAGTTGCTGCCACAGTGTCAGCGCGTGCTTCGGTGTGTGCTTGTAGGAAACACACAGTAAACTGGGACTTTGATTTCCACAGTGGGTCTCCTGAGACACTCTCTTTCACTAGTGGATAGCTGCAGGTACCTGAGGACCAGTGGCAGCTGGTGCAGGTCCAAAGGGGTGCTGCAAATGCTCTACACCTTTATGTCCCGACATCTGCAGACAAGAGGGATTGCCAGCTACGAGACGGTAAGAGCGGGAGGACCAGGCAGAGCAGCTATGTGGAGTGGTCGCCTAGGAGAGCATTCACTCAGAATGTGTGAGTAAAGGTGTTCTATTGGACATAAACACAGCCTACAATCCGAAGAGGCAGAGGCAGTAAAGAACAGGCGGAGTTCTTGGGTTTGCAGGGAGTGTGACTGATGAAATTAGTATCTTCATAGAAGTGCTGAAGAGCAGGTGGATAGAGATGAAGGCCAGATGAGACAAACAGAGAGAGTCTCTAAGACCACTAAGCAAAATGGAGAGAAGTGGGGGAGGGCATGGAGTTGGCCCTGGAGTGTAGTCATTAAGCGTTGGGCATAGAATCCCACATGGACAACCTGGCCCCAGGGGCTTGAAGACATCCCGGTGCATGTGCATGCCAGTATCCTGATGGGAAGAAGGAATGGAGAAAAAAGGATTTCAGAATGAATATGCCCTCTTAGAGAGGGTTTTCTCTTTCTCTCTCTGGTGAGTGCCTGCATCTTCCGGCAATAAAAAAAAAAAAAAAAAGAAAAAAGAAAAAAAATAAAAAAAGAAAAAAGGCATGGAGGTTAAGTTAGTTAAATGCAAGAGGTACATAGTAATTGGCATTCTTAAAGGATAAAACAAATATCTTTACTCCCACTCTCAAAAGTGAATAGCTAAAGAAAACAACAAAAACCTCACTGAACTGAAGACTGACCTGAGTCTAAATGGAAACCGCCCCATAGGAAACAACAAGGACGCAAGTACGGCCATGTCGTGGGAACGGCAGCCTTTGAAAAGATAGGCTGTACTAGTCTACATTAGAAAATACAAACAGACAGACAACAAAACAAAAAACCCAAAACCGGCTATCTTCAAATTAGAGAGTATGACTACCTAAAATACAAACAGACAGACAACAAAACAAAATACTCCAAACTGGCTATCTTCAAATTAAAGAGAATATGACCATTTTCCTAGTTCTCGTTTCTAATCTGTATCAGGAGTCAGGAGAGAAAGGAGAAATAACACCAGTCTTTTTCTTTCTTCTTTCTTTTCTTCTCTTTCTTTTCCTCTCTTTCTTTCTCTTTCTTTCTTTCTTTCCTTCCATCCTTCCTTCTTTTCTTGTCTTTTCTTTTCTTTTGTTTTCTTTTCTTTTCTTTTCTGTTTGTTTGCCACACAACTTGTGCACTCAACGGAGATAGACAGAGAGGGAAAGGAAGAAACACTCCCTAGTTGGGCGCAGTTGTGTCACAATCCCTTCTCCTCCATCTCTCTATTTTTTTCAGGACTCTGGACATGCACGACACATGCCTGGTTTGTTTTTCGAGCTGTTGCATCTGGGATTTAAAATGCATGGTCAGCATGTTGGCTCTGGATCCCTTCACCTCCAGGACAGGGGCCAGCCCACAGCTCTCATTTTAAGAGAGGATTTAGCTCTAAAAATATGCTAAATAAGGTTGGAGGACTGGAAAAGTAGGAAGAGGACATAGGGGTAGCACAAGGATATGAGGTGCGACCTGTTACGCCCCAATATCTGGGAGATCTACAGAAGGAGGTTGAGGTTATCAAATTCAGCAGTCTAAAGAGGGTGCCCTCTGGAGTTCGGATTCAGACCTGG